GTAAATGTTGTTAAAGTTAATTACGCTAATTAATGTAGATCTTTATGGCGCAGTAACTTTTACGAGGTCCGGTATCAACGATTAATCATTTAGCCAACTAATTTATTATATAGTCTCAAGATAACTTGGATTACCAGATCTTAGAAATAAGCCATTACCCAACTCAAGAACCGATTCTATAATAAAAATAATAGAATAAATTAGTGATGTAATTTGTTAAAGTCATAAATAAAATAAAAATAATGTTTCACCCCTTTTTTGTTCTTCACAATAAAAATCTATGCTTTGTTTGTGCGTGTATTATGAGCTAACGGATTATTAAGCCAAATCCATTACGATTTTTCCCATAAAATTTAACTAGTAAACTGGGTTCAGAAGATCGATGTCTCAGAAATTTAACATCAATTAGTAATATCAAATATGGAATTTCAGCTGGTAAACTGGATTCAGATATGGAACTTGGTGAGAATTAGCAGTTAGTACCGATAATTTGATATTGTTGAATTGAACCTTATATCATCAATTCAACAATTAACAGATATCTGATATTATTACATTTTACATCATTTCGGCAACCTTCAGATCAGCTTCACCCTATCACTAATATTTTTAACGAGAAGGCCGTTAGCTGTTAGAAATGAATAAATTTTAAATAGCAGATAGTATAACAGATAAATATACTTAACTTTTTGCTTGCCCTTCCTTGAACGTTAATAAAGATGCCAACTCTCTTCTAAATTCTTCTTGTATTATTTGTTATATATTGTTATAATAAATTCATAAATCTTGAATAATTCAAAACAAAAATGTGTGATTCAGAATTTACTCTTATGGATTTTGAGGAATATTATACTAACGCTCCTGAAGAAATAAACGAAAATAATATTGATCAAATTGCTTTTGCAAGTGCTCGAGTCTTATTAAATAATGATGAAAATGACGATGTGGATTGAAGTGAGGTTAAACTTGAAGGACTTGAAAATTCTGATTATAATAATTCCTTTCAAATAATAAACAATGACATAGATATAAAAATTGAAAAGACCTTTATACAAAGTTTAACTCTAACGCCATATGTAGTTATAGATGCTATTTAAGGTGAAATAAAACGTTGTAATAATACAACAAATCTTTGACGATTAGAGCAAATGATAGAGATATGGAAGATAAATATAGAAGCAGTTGAAAATATTAAGAGTGATCTTCATCAGCTTGGAATATGTTATAATCATTTTCTTTTTGATCAGAATCAACTTCATAATAAAGACATAAAGCAATCATGTTCAATTGAGCAGAGTATCATCCATTTTCACTTCTGTATTTTCTGTAATAAAAAAATGTTTCTTTAGCTGTGGTAGCAATTGTGAAAAACATTCATGGAGTATTAATAAATGTAATATTCTTGTATTGGGTGTTCATAACTGTTCTGTATTTGCTGAAGGATCTATTACAAAAAAATCATCATCAGGCTATCATACATATTATATCTGCTCAAAATGCTTTCAACAACAGGATGGATATTTGTATGAAAGATCAGGTAAAGGCCAAAAATATGTATTATGTATTGAACATGAAAAATATTGTGATGATACAGGTGATACTCTAAAATATATTGAAATGTGAATAATATTAGTAGCAGAGTCAGGTGATAATCAGTTACAAAAAACTCCTATCTCTAATAACTCCTACATTGACTGATTTTAATAATGAAGTACAGTCATACCTTTCTATAGCGAATTTTTATATAACGAATTTTTTGGACAACTATATTAAATTTACCCTCGTTATAACGAACTAGCCAATCAAATTCTTTAAAAAATTCACTATAGCTCTATAGCGAAGTTGAAGTTCAGGACATAAAATTCGTTATATCAAGGGTTGACTGTAATGGAAAAAATCTATCAGAAATGAAAGCATCAAAGCTTTCAAGCAAGTTACTCATTAGAACAGCATTGAAAATAGGAAAAGTTGAACTAAATAAGTTAATAAATGAAAGGACTCACATAGTGATTCTAGAAAAAGCTTTGAAAATAGAAGATAAATTAGGAGGAGAGGTTTTATTTTCACATTTTGAAATTCAACAAAATATTGGCCAATTAGAAAATCTAAACTCATATAAAAGCTACTTTGATGTATTGCCTAAAACATTTGTAGTTTTTTTTATGCATTCATTATGATACTATAATAACAAAAACAAAATATTGTTAATAAAAAAGGTACCAACATGGACTTCATCTGGAATCAATCAATACAAATCAAATATCAAAAATAACTGCCTTATTAACCTTCATGATACTGATCATTGCTTTTCCTGGAATAAAAATCTGGCTTTTACATATTTATTATCAATATGCTAGAAGCTAAAACTGTTACCATACTTATGAGATATTCTTTATTCTGCATGTATTATATTTTATACTAAATGGTATAAAAATCAGCTTAAAAAATTTAGAATGCTTTATACAAATCCTAGGGAGAATTTAATTGAAGGACCAAATATTTGGAATTTAGTGGTAATTGACAACATTGATTTTAAAGCTTCTACATTCTCATATGACAATATTTTGATGTCACATGATAAACATCACATGATAAACATTGCATGCAACATTATGAATGGTATTTCAATTTACTATTCCAACCTCTCTTGATGACCTAATTAGAGATCATGAATCCATTAATCAACCACTGTTTAGAGAGTTTTCATTTACCAATGATCTTTTAATAATGTATGAAAATCATTGAATATAATGTTAGAAACTTATGCAAATAAATTTGATATGGAAGGTGTACACTTGAAAATTATTGAGCAAGTACATACAGGTTGTAATGATTTACCGCTAAATATTGTAATATTGAAACCTGGTAATCCACTAAATTACAATAAAAACGTTCATACAGCTTATAAAATGTATCGTGATGACTTACTTCAAAGTAGCCATCTATACATAGCATGTGATTAAACAATTTTTGGAAGGTTAATATCCTATAAGAAATTTATAGAGATGTTCAGCTTCTTTTAGGATAGTGGTATACAGTCATACCTCTCTATAGCGAATTTTTATATAACGAATTTTTTGGACAACTATATTAAATTTACCCTCGTTATAATGAACTAGCCAATCAAATTCTTTAAAAAATTCACTATAGCTCTATAGCGAAGTTGAAATTCAGGACATAAAATTCGTTATATCAAGGGTTGACTGTACATCTAAAGATATGTGCAGTACTTTAATTATAATATTCTCAGAACATGGAATATTCAACCTTGCAGCAACTTTTGGTATACGATACTTAGATAAATTTAAATGTGTTATGCATTACTGGGTGACATATTATATATTAAAATTGATTTGGATTGCAGTTGAAATTGTATTGTATTAGCATACAAAAAGCAAATAGGAAACTATAGATGATATTCTGGGAGGTAAGATATAGTACCTTTTTTTCTATTGGACAGGATACTTTATAAGTCATAAAACTGAAATTAGGAGAGAAAATTATAAGATGCAAATATCAAATTTGCTGCATTTGCACCTCTTTTTTCTGCAATTGGAAAGTTTAAGTATGCAAGTTCTGTAACATACTTTTTGAATTAAATTCATAATGACCCACAGTTTCAGAAGCTATTATAAACAGAATGCTTAGTAAATCTTGCAAGAGAAGGATATTATTTAGCCTTTGATGAAGTACTTGTAACATATGGGATAAAGTTCATAAAGGAAAATATTACCAGAAATCTTACTGATCAGCAGATCATGATATTAAAGGTTAAAGCAGCCCAAAATGAAAGGAATCGCTTATCTTTACTTTTTGCAAAATAGACTGTGATATTATAACTAATCAGAATTCTCGTGCGATCAAGTCACACAAAGATTTATTCTGAGACTTAGTTGTAAAGTTATCGTCTGCTTTTGATCATCCAAATCCTATAACACACTATCTGTTTGAAAATGTTTTAGAAATCAATAAGAAGGGTATTAATAATATTCTCTCCTTTTATGAATCTGGCAAATCATGCTTTAAACAAGTTCTTTTGCAGGATGTATACAAAACTAAAATCCGAGTAGCTACTGGATATCGTTCACAAGACAATAATCATTATACTTACACTCAACTAGTGTTTCGCAAAAAATCTGATTCAATCAGAATCTGATCTAAATTTGATGGATCAGATCGAATCAGATTCAGATCTGGATTTTGATTTGATTCGATCCATCGGATCTGGATCAGATTTGGATTTGGATTCAGATCAGATTTATTAGATTTGAAATAAAAATGCCGCCCCGAAGTCGGACGCGGTATTTATTATTAAAAAAGTTTAATTTTTAATAATAAAATGCCGCCTGAAAGTCAGACACGGCATTTATTATTAAAAAATTAATTTTTATTAATTTTAATAACAAAATGCTGTTCCGAAAGTTGG